CTGTCTAGGCTCCAAGACGACGAGGACCATGATCGGGATCTCGATGCTACGCACATCGGTAATCGACCGTTTGCAGTCCATTTCGCCGAGGTCAGCCAGAACCTATTCCAGCTACCGTCACGTAACGAGTTCCTTGTGAAGGACGACGACGTCCCCGTGGATGAGTTGCAAAACCTCCTCAAAAGAGAAGACGGCCCCTACGAACACCGTAAGACCAAAAAGTTGTACGTCCCGAATCGACTTAGCTGACTGCTCGGTACCCTATGGGAGGGTACGTTGGAGCAGCCGTTCTTCATGAGTAGAGTAAGCATGGATTATGTGGGCCCTAGAGCATTCCAAGGGCAGGGGGGGGTCTATGCACACAAGGGCATAGACCACCCAAGGGCAGGTTTACTACATCCTTGTGTGCATACACCACGCAACTCGTTACATCGTAGCTAGAGCACCGTCGCTGAAGACGCCTGCGGTAACGCGCAACCTGTTTGCAGAAAGTGTAGTAGGAGCGTTGGGGATGCCCTTCGAAGTATACACGGACGGCGGAACAGAGTTCAAAGGTGACTTCCACGACTACGTGACTTCCGTGCTGAAAGTCAATCAACGCCGCACCACACCTGCCTCGACAGAATGGACTAAACGAATCGAATCACCGCACCTTCGAGTCCATAATGTCCAAGATACATCAAGACGGTAACTATTCCGACTGCGAAAGGGGAAGCCTTCGCGCTGGGAGATGTTGTAGTCGTAAGTACCAGGGTCGAACCCGTCGAAACCGTAATCCGTGAGAAAGGAGAGATACCAAGCCTGATGGCGCTACCCTACGTAGTCAACGAGATCCAAGGCAACAGAATGCGATTGCGGCAGACTAGTGTGACGTGACAAGGTGCATTGCAGGCTAACCGTGAGGCGAGTTCTACGCGACTTGTTCATGCGGCGCAAGGGGTGCGCCGGCCCCGAAAGGTGAGAGGCTACAGCCACAGCAAACGCACGCTTAGGTCACCCTGGTGGGCCGGGAGCGCTTCAAAATGAGGGGTGAAGTTTCAAGTCGAGTAAAAGGCCAAAAAATTTGTTATCTCGTTCTTGACACGTTTGAGCGTTGCAGTCTTGAGGTTTCGGCACTCAAAGCTACAGTACTTTGGGAAGTAGCCTGGTGTTTGGAACAAGGAGTAGTTCCCTTTCATTTCCGCAGCAGTGGTCATGAAGTCTGTAACATTTCCCCATAACACGTCCTCTCCTGACAGGCCCACCGCCACGACGCTGAATCGAGCTTCGACGCATCGACAGCCGTGCTTCGGCAGTTGACAGGCGTTGTAAACGCCGTAACATGGATCGTCTGGAAGCTGTGAACTAAAGGTTCGTCCCAGTAGATAGTATAGACGTTGCTGGCTGATGCCGTATATGTCGAGACCTATGCACTTGGCGGCGGCCCGTCCACGGGCTAGGTGAAGGAGATACTCCTTCTTTATGTCGTCGTGGTTTGTGATGAGGCAACGGGAGGGCTTTACGTGACGGATGACCGCCTCCCAGACTCTCGGGAAGTCGTACTTGAACGGATCGCCAAAGTAATGACAACTCAGGTCCTCGCCGCGGTCATCGACGCAAACCACCTTACCGCCCATGTTACAGCTGGACCAGTCCAACGTCTTCCAGGCATCCGCCGTCGCGTCTACCATTGACGCGTTCTTGTTGTTATCGTATATGCCCTTGCAAGTGTCAGAGGGTATTCTCATCCACGCCAACTCGTGTGCAGACATCGCTATGTTGCCAGCCCTGGACTCGATCGCCACGGGTTTGCAGTTCACGACCAAGTCCGACTCGGACCAAGCCTTACAATCGCAAGACACCGCATACTTGTACCGTTCGGCATCTGACAAACGAGAGAATTGGGCATCGCACAACGATGTGTAGTTGTGCGTCGTGGCCTCAGTAATCGGAGTATATGCAGGCATCGGGGCCTCGCTTGGAGTGTCTCTGTGAATCAGCTCCTTGGACGTAGTAGAGCTGGGCATTGGCCCCTCAGACGGAGTAGGGCTGGGCATTGGCTCCTCAGACGGAGTAGAGCTGGGCATTTGGCCCTCAGACGGAGTAGAGCTGGGCATTTGGCCCTCCGACGCTATAGAGCTGGGCATTTGGCCCTCAGACCGAGTAGAGCTGGGCATTTGGCCCTCAGACTGAGTAGAGCTGGGCATTGGCCCTTCAGACGGAGTGTAGGTAGAGACCGAAAGAGGATCGAGAATACTCGGCAGTTCTGAATCCGGGGGTGTCAAACTGTCGGCTCGTGCTCTATAGAGGTGGAACACCGCTCCTGCTATCACCGCACCACTCAAACCCACAGCGCAGGCAATACCAAGACCTTTGAGAAACCTTGGCCGTCGCCAGAAGCTTCCAGTTTCTTCACGAATAGCCTGGCCCTCGACCTCAATACAGTACGCGGCGGGGCCGGAATCCTGAATTGCAGCACTCCACTTCGGATATTGCGCCAAGAGCTGTATTTGCTCGTCGTCATCTAGCGGCCTCATATCTATGATCTCCAGCTTTGATCTTCCATCGACGATCTTCGTGTCTTCGGTACTGCTTGTGTCCAGCCACTTCGTAAGCTCTCTGCCAAACGCGTTCTCCAATACCACATTGGCAACGGACGGGTCCGTGTCGTTGAGATGCTCCTTCAGGGTCCGCGCAAGTAAGCGCTCGATGCGCGCGGAAGCTTTCACTTGCCTCTCGGACCCTTCCGGGTGGCAGACTCGAAGGCGATTCCAACGACGGAGCCAATCATAGTCCTCGAGGCAGGATCCCAGAAACTCCGAGGGAGGCGCCAAGGCCAGAACTTCGGCGACACCCTTACCATCTGACACGACCGCTATCCTCGCGACGCAATCGGTGATGGGCGACAACTTCCCATAAGGACCGATGAACGCTGCCAGCGCCTCCCAACCCCCAACGTGAAGCAAGCGTAGACCTGTAATTGCCTTCATTGAAAAAACAGTGTAAAAAATATGTGCGGGACTGGCCCTCCATGTTATGTCTCCCGTGCTAGGAAGTCTCAGTCGTTGAGAACTGAGTTGAATTCGGGTTTGCGGGCTGAATAGGTTGCGAGTTCGTAAAAAGTCCCTCAACCCATAAAAAGCTAACGGCAGGGCCGGTCGGACCCCAATTTCATCTCACGTGGCGAAATGTGTCCTGTGGTGTGTCAGTGGGCGAGGTCGGCTTTCAGTTGTTGGGTCTCGCCCGTCAAAGCTTTTTGTCAAATACAGGAGGGTCAGAAACCGCAACAATGCAAGTTACCAGAATCAACACCGAGGACTCATCATACGACGCAGGCAGCACCACGTCAGCAGCGGACCAGTACGACACAACAATGGCGACAGCTACTGGACTGGTTGCCACTGACGTGGGGTATGCGTACATAGGGCGCTTTCCGGAGTCGACACGCGAGCTTGACTCGCGCGAGTAGGAGGCCTGGGAG